CGTAAAAAGACAGTATAAGTCATTATAATCCATAATTATGTCCCCACTGGATGCAACAAATGCCTCGTTTGTAATGGGCTTTAATGTTTTTGTCTCGTCGCTCCGGCCAGGACACGGCATCACAGTATGTTAAAGGGGCGTAACATTTCCGTCACACGCTTGTGGTATTTGGCCAATCACAATGCACTGGATAGCTGGCCAATCAGAGCACACCTCGCTTTTCAGACCGATGAGCTTTGTAAAAATCAATGTGTTTCAGAAAGGCGGGGCATAGAGGAGAAACAATAATGTACAGTATGTGGAAAATAATGTGTTTTTTGAACCTTAAACCTCATAAACACATTTCATTACACCAAATACACAAAATAATGTTCTTTTTAGCAACATCATATGACCCCTTTAAGTAAAGATCATGGTCCATAAAATGTTTTGTAAATTTCCTATATTTTGTAAATATATCAAAACTTAATTTTTGATTAGTAATATGCATTGGTAAGAACTTCATTTGGTGATTTTCTCAATATTATTTTTTTGCACCCTCAGATTCCAGATTAATAGTTGTATCTCGGCCAAATATTATCCTAACAAACCATACATCAATGGAAAGCTTATTTATTCAGCTTTATTCAGATGGTGTGTACATCTCAATTAAAAAAAATTGACACTTATGACTGGTTTTGTGTTACAGGGTCACATATTAGCTTTTAAACTTTTACATTTGCTTTAAATTCAACTGTCCCAATACTTATGCCCACATCAGATTAGGGAATGAAACTCTAAAAGTGCCATCCTTTTTATTTGTTAAAACATGAATGTGTTGAAACAGCTAGTAATAAAATGTGACATTCTGTAGTTTTGTCTCATATTCATCTTTTAATTATATTTGCAGATGTCTTGACTCCATATATATACAGTGGGTACGGAAAGTATTCAGACCCCCTTAAATGTTTCACTCTGTTATATTGCAGCCATTTGCTAAAATCATTTAAGTTAATTATATATATATATATATATATATATGAATCTGATACAGCTAAAGCAAGTGAGTAAATATAATTGTAATGTGACAGTGGGAACTGTTTCTTTGCTGTTTACTTCAGAAACTTCATTTTGTCACATGGCGACCAGCAGATGTCCCATTTCTACAGCTGATGTTCAGAGGCATGCAGTTCCTGTGTGGGAGCAGATGGCCTTGATATAATACTTTTAAAAATATTAATAACCAACCCTCCTTTTCAATATGTTTTCCTCTGTAATGTTTCTTGTTTCCAAAATATATATATAAAAAAAGATATTTTAGAACAAAACTTCTTTACTGATTACCTTTTTTAAATGGCATGCTTAATAATAATGCCAAATGGCAAAGAGTGTCAGCATTAAACAAGACTTCTTCCCTTTATTGAAATCAGCTTTTTTTTACACTTTAAAGGGGTCATATGATGCGATTTCAAGTTTTCCTTTCTCTTTGGAGTGTTACAAGCTGAATGTGCATAGATAAGATCCCTGAAGTTGCAAAGACTAAAGTCTCAAAACCAAAGAGATATTCTTTATCAAAGTTTAGACTCTGCCACACCCCCCTAAAACGGCCTCGTTCTAACACGCCCCCACATATCTACCTCACTATGTGGAAATATTAGCATAATGAGAGCAAATGTGCACGCAAAGAAAGAAGGCGTGGTTTCAGTAACCGCAGTTAGTGTTGAAGCAGCATGTCAGGGAGACGCTGTGTGTTTCTAGGCGAAAGCAAGGGAGTAGGGGGAGATTTCACTGTCAAAAGGCACTCTCTTTGTGTGGATGGTGTACTGAGAGACAGAAGAAAAACAAGAGTCTAATACAATATAACAACATGTGAGAAAAAGAGCAGAAAACATGTACGTTTCTCCAGTGAGCTTTTTACGTGACAGTGAATCTCACATGGATCTGTCATGTAAATGTTACAGTGTGTTGAGTGGGCTCACCCTGAAGAGGCTGTGTGTGTCCTGCATGAGGATGGTGTGTCGACGGTCATCCGTGTGAGGATCAGGCACGGTTTCGATTCCTGCTCCCAACAGCTCATTCCTTAGCAGTGCAGCATACGCCACAGCGTCTGCAAAACAGATTTTGTTACATTTTATATTTTAATATTTATATTAATTTTGCTTTAGTGTGCCAATAGGAAATACTAATTTCATTCCATCTGCAAACACCCAAATGGCAAACACATATATTATTTTCTTTATATAGAAAGAAATGAAAGAATTTTTTTTCCAGCAAACTTTTGAATCTATCATCTACCTATATCTATCTATCTATGTATAAAGATAGATAGATAGATAGATAGATAGATAGATAGATAGATAGATAGATAGATAGATAGGAAGATAGAAAAATTGAATGGTAGTGTATAATGTTACAAAAGCTTTCTATTTCAGATAAATGTGGTTCTTTTGAACTTCTGTTCATCAAACAATCCTGAAAATAAATTGTACACAATTGTTTTCATTGTTGATAATAATAAAAAAATAATAATTGTTTCTTGAGAAGCAAATCAGCATATTAGAATTATTTCTGAAGGATCATGTGACACTGAAGACCGGGGTAATGATGCTGAAAATTCAGCTTTGCACCACATAAATAAATTACAATTTAATATATTTAAATAGAAAACAGTTATTTTAAATTGTAAATATATTTCACAGTATTACTGTTTTTTGCTGTATATATATATAAATACATATGCATGTATATATTTAAGAAAAACGTGTTTTGTTTATATATAAAATATTTATATATATGTAAATATTTTTCAAATATATACATATTGTGTATTTATATAATCATAAAAATATACACAGTACACAGACATATATTATGTAAACAAAACCCTATTTTGGATGCGATTAATCGTTTGGCAGCACTAGTTTGTATATACTGTATATCAGTTCACTGTGAAAACCGAGGGCATGTACAAGATGCTGAATGACTTCACCTTTCCCTGTGTCTGTACTAGCATCCTTCGCCCGCTGATTCTGATTGGGTGACCAACAGTTCTCCTGCAAACGAACATGCAAATATCAAGTGAATTTTTAGTGGTGCAATGGCATTAATGTATTGGCTTTAATCTATTATTCTTCTTTACTACGGATGAGTGTAAACACTTCAGATGAATGGTAACTTACATTGGCATAGTGGAAGTTTATGCTCCAGTTGCTGCCGGCACGTGTGGGGATGAATCTGTCTCCTGATTTCACAGTAACCGGACTGCACGCTGCATACCCTGACTGCATAAACAGTAATACACAGTGGAAACAGACAATTATTATGTGTAATATTTATATTTCTGCCTCTTTAAAGGGACAGTCCTGCCAAAAATCAATCTTCGGTCATCGTTTACTCACCCTCATTTCATTCCAAACCTTTATGACTTTTCTCATTCTGTGGAACACCAAAGAAGATATTTTTGAAGAATGTGAGTAACCAAACAGTTTTGGATCCCATTGACTTCCATAGTACTTTTTTTTGACCATGCACGTCAGTGGGACCTGAAACTGTTTGGTTACTAACATTCTTCAAAACATCTTCTTTGGTGTTCCACAGAATGAGAAAAGTCATAAAGGTTTGGAATGAAATGAGGGTGAGTAAATGATGACCGAAGATTGATTTTTGGCAGGACTGTCCCTTTAAAGAGGCAGAAATATAAATATTACACATAATAATTGTCTGTTTCCACTGTGTATTACTGTTTATGCAGTCAGGGTATGCAGCGTGCAGTCCGGTTACTGTGAAATCAGGAGACAGATTCATCCCCACACGTGCCGGCAGCAACTGGAGCATAAACTTCCACTATGCCAATGTAAGTTACCATTCATCTGAAGTGTTTACACTCATCCGTAGTAAAGAAGAATAATAGATTAAAGCCAATACATTAATGCCATTGCACCACTAAAAATTCACTTGATATTTGCATGTTCGTTTGCAGGAGAACTGTTGGTCACCCAATCAGAATCAGCGGGCGAAGGATGCTAGTACAGACACAGGGAAAGGTGAAGTCATTCAGCATCTTGTACATGCCCTCGGTTTTCACAGTGAACTGATATACAGTATATACAAACTAGTGCTGCCAAACGATTAATCGCATCCAAAATAGGGTTTTGTTTACATAATATATGTCTGTGTACTGTGTATATTTTTATGATTATATAAATACACAATATGTATATATTTGAAAAATATTTACATATATATAAATATTTTATATATAAACAAAACACGTTTTTCTTAAATATATACATGCATATGTATTTATATATATATACAGCAAAAAACAGTAATACTGTGAAATATATTTACAATTTAAAATAACTGTTTTCTATTTAAATATATTAAATTGTAATTTATTTATGTGGTGCAAAGCTGAATTTTCAGCATCATTACCCCGGTCTTCAGTGTCACATGATCCTTCAGAAATAATTCTAATATGCTGATTTGCTTCTCAAGAAACAATTATTATTTTTTTATTATTATCAACAATGAAAACAATTGTGTACAATTTATTTTCAGGATTGTTTGATGAACAGAAGTTCAAAAGAACCACATTTATCTGAAATAGAAAGCTTTTGTAACATTATACACTACCATTCAATTTTTCTATCTTCCTATCTATCTATCTATCTATCTATCTATCTATCTATCTATCTATCTATCTATCTATCTTTATACATAGATAGATAGATATAGGTAGATGATAGATTCAAAAGTTTGCTGGAAAAAAAATTCTTTCATTTCTTTCTATATAAAGAAAATAATATATGTGTTTGCCATTTGGGTGTTTGCAGATGGAATGAAATTAGTATTTCCTATTGGCACACTAAAGCAAAATTAATATAAATATTCAAATAAAAAATGTAACAAAATCTGTTTTGCAGACGCTGTGGCGTATGCTGCACTGCTAAGGAATGAGCTGTTGGGAGCAGGAATCGAAACCGTGCCTGATCCTCACACGGATGACCGTCGACACACCATCCTCATGCAGGACACACACAGCCTCTTCAGGGTGAGCCCACTCAACACACTGTAACATTTACATGACAGATCCATGTGAGATTCACTGTCACGTAAAAAGCTCACTGGAGAAACGTACATGTTTTCTGCTCTTTTTCTCACATGTTGTTATATTGTATTAGACTCTTGTTTTTCTTCTGTCTCTCAGTACACCATCCACACAAAGAGAGTGCCTTTTGACAGTGAAATCTCCCCCTACTCCCTCTCTCCTCTCAGTGTACAGTTTTACAGTTTCTCTGTAATCTCGGTATTAATTCAAAATATAATTAATCATTTATTCATTTTTTTGTGTACACATCATTTATTCATTTATTGTAAAACATGACAAATTTACTTCAGAAGAATTTCAAAATACGTCAAATTTACTTGTTTTTATAAATGAGTTAAGCTTATTTTTCTCACCGTTTTGGCAAATTGTTTTTAGGTTTAGATATATTTATAATAAAAGAAGGCAAAAATACAGAGCCCCGCACATGACAAGCGAAGAAAAATATATTGTGGCAACAAATTAAGAATTTGTTCCCAAGACTTTGTGAAGACGAGGGAACAAATTAATCTGACATGGACATGATTTAACTAAAAAAGGGAACCAATTAATAAAACAGGGCCACAAATTAGTCATGAGAACAAATTCTTAATTTAACTTTATTTATTTTATTTTATTTTTTGGTGATTTTTCTGTTTATAGCTCATAAAAGCAACATTACTTTTTTTGTATACCGTTAATGTTATCCAAATATTAGGCATGTCTGTGAATTTCTATAAATTTCACTGGGATAAAACTTAAATGTGTGATTTAAATGTTTTTATTTTATTATTGTCTGTAGTCACAAACTATTACGTTCACCCCGAAAGCCAGCTCGCAAGATTTCCAAGATCCCATTCAAGGTTCTTGATGCCCCAGAGTTGCAAGATGACTTCTACCTCAACCTGGTACTCTTCATTTACCAATATCTTTACAAATTTACAATTGTATAAATATTAAATAATGGATAGGGGTCTTGTATCACTCTTGACGGTACGTTATTATTACTTTATTTTTGCGATATAATGACCAGTTGACTGTAAGGAATGTGTTGCCTGGTACAGTGGTTATAAAGTTTATAATTATACAGTCATTGGTCATTATTTAAAAAATATAGAACTTTATTGACCAATCAGAATCAAGTATTTCAGAGAACCACGTAATGTAATGTAATCTGACTGAAAACGATTGTGAACAGGTGGACTGGTCAGCTGGAAACCTCTTGAGTGTTGGGTTGGGGGCCTGCGTTTATTTGTGGAGTGCCTGTACCAGTCAGGTATGAGACAAACTGTAAGGACAAACAGCTACAGATGTGATCTAATGTGATTGCCAGTAATCAGCATTTCATTTTATACTTCCAAACTTACACAGGTGACGCGGTTGTGTGACTTATCATTGGATGGTGACTCTGTTACATCAGTGTGTTGGAATGAGAGGGTCAGCACAAACCTTTTATATGTTATATAAAGATTTCTGACTTGAGATTGTATTTGGGATTGTTTAGGGTAATATTTTCTTCTTTGTTGTTCACTCAGGGAA